CACCGTTAATTGGGCATTAGGGGATCCCCTGGCCCCCCTTCCTCCAGGGACTGGGGGCTCCCGGAGGGATGGGTTCCAGCAGGGAAGGGGTTATCCCTACTTTTAATTGGCTGGTAACGAGGACCCAGGACTGGGTCTAATCTCTCTGGAATGTGACTGATTTTCAACTATTTTCCTCTTTTTTTTTTTCCTTTTTTTCTGCTGTTTCACAGCTCAGATCCCCACGTGGGGGACAGTGGGGGGACAGTGGGGGGACAGTGGGGGCTGTGTCCCAGCTGGACCCAAGGGATGGGGAGGAAAAAGAGGAGGGGGGGCTCATTTTTCCAGATCACCACTGAACCATTCATCAGCTCCCCCCGCTTTGTATATTTTGAAAGGGTCCCCCCTCTTCCCCCCCTTCCCATCCCCAACCTCCCGAAATGGCCTCAAAATGAGAATCAGCCTTTTATCCCCCAAACCTTCCCCCTGTGCCGTCCCCCCTGTGCCGCCTCCCCCCCTGTCCCCGTCCCTTCGCGCCTTCTCCGCTTACAGAGCAGCCCAAAAGCCCCTTTGTGMCGGGGACAGGGCAGGGGACAGCGGTGTCAGGGGACATCTCGTGCCCTGTGCCAGACGTGGTCACAGGGGGACACGGTGGGAGGGCACTGAGGGTCTCATGCRGTGCTTGGAGTGGTGGCTCTTGGCTGGGGACAGGTGGGGGTCCCCGATGGCACCCCAGGGTGGCTGCAGGCACGGCTGTGGGGGTGTTGGGACGTTTGGGCTGTGCTGTCACTGTGGGTCACTCGGATTGGGAGGATTTGGAACAGCTCCTTCATCACAGGGAGTGCTGGGGCAGGGCGAGCCCATGGGTGACAGCCTGGGGTGACAGTGAGCCCATGGGTGACAGTGAGCCCACGGTGACAGTGAGTCCATGGGTGACAATGAGCCTGGGGTGACAGTGAACCTGAGTGACAGTGAACCTGGGGTGACAGTGAGCCCAGGGTGACAGTGAGCCCCAGGTGACAGTGAGCCCATGGGTGACAGTGAGCCTGGGGTGACAGTGAGCCCCTGGGTGACAGTGAGCCTGGGGGAACAGTGAGCCCATGGGTGACAGTGAGTCCACAGGTGACAGTGAGCCCACAGGAGACAGTGAGCCCATGGGTGACAATGAGCCTGGGGTGACAGTGAGCCCATGGGTGACAATGAGCCTGGGGTGACAGTGAGCCCAGGGTGACAGCCCATGGGTGACAGCGTGGGGTGACAGTG